GAAATGGAAGTAATCCCAACAATTATGAAACAAGAGATTCCTCGAAACCCAACTTTTCTTCGTATAGTTATCCTATTCCCCAGCATCGAACCGTGGACTTGGAACATTCCCAGACGTTTCACCGGCATCGTCAGTGAGTCTTGCCATTCTCAGCATCAAGCTACAACTCGTCAAAGAGGCAAGTGAGGCCAATCTCTTGAACAAGAGAATGTACCGAATTCACGATCCGAGGTTGGGACTTCGGAAAAGGCGCGTCCTACTAAGTCGTCGTGTCAACACGACAAAGTTGTGAAAAAGAGGTCAGACCACTCATATACATGGAAGAGAGACTGCGATTAAAATAGAGGCCACTGTGAAACATAGTTTGCTATTAGATGCTCAAAATCCATCCAATTTCAAATTGGCATACAAGACAAAATATAAGAATTTTCAATTTGTCTTTTTCACACAGTTAATATTAGTTGGTAAAAACCAGTTGGAACTGTTACACGTTGATTATGAGCTGGATCCGATTTCGAATCCGGTTTAGTGCTAATTTTGACTCAGGCGTTGTCTTACTCGCTGGGATAGCCTTTTGAAGAACCATGCCATCCTGGAAGGCTCACCTATCAAGTCTTCCACCAAGTTCTTACTAGATTCACTCTTAACTGGTAATAAGCTCTTGTTTTGAAATTGAGAAGACTTCGTTTGAAGAATTCTGAAATTTTTGGTGTGAAAATTTACTAGGAGGATGTAATAGAATTTTGTTAATAGGAAAATTGCAAATATTCGTAATCGGATGTTGGTTGAGGAGGTCTGCTCCGCCTCAAGGTTGACGCTTTCCACGTAATTTCATAATACTTTAATCACATGGCTGGAGGGGAAACGTTATTTCTATAGAAGTGGGTTAACCTCGTTGTAGTAACTTGGTCTTGTTGTCAGGGGGACTTAGTACAACACACCTAGTCCGAAGTCGTCTGCCATAGTAGTTGTCATGTTCCCAGCATCAGTCAGTGGACTCGGTACCTTCTCAAACATTTCGCCGGCATCGTAGTCGGCATCATCAGTGAGTTTTGCCATTCTCCGTTGCTGCGACGACGAGGTCAATCCACTTCTATAAATCGAAAGGAGACTGCGACCATACCAGAGGCCACAACATCTTGGACTTCATATCTTCAGGAGACGGGCTGGCGATGATTAGACAGAAACTTCATTTCATTCTAAATAGATACGTCATTTTGGGCTAAACATTGTAAGAAAGTCCAATACAAGACTTTCCTAGCCTTCATTTTGGGTAGTCTTGCTATAAGAGATTAGGGATGAGTATTTATTAAGTAATAGCAATATGAGATGTATTCACCCAATTTCATTTAAGGTGATGAAGGGCCTGAAACGAAATTGAGTGAATACATCTCATATTACTGATTTACTGGTAGTCTCGAAACAATACTTAATACGAAAAATAAAGTATAGTAGTCGATTGTTATAGCAAATATACATTTGCTTTATCGACAATCCCATCAAAAGTGGTTAGCGTGTCAAGCTACCGTCCTGCACTGTCGCGGTTCGACTCCCGCTGAGGGTCGAAGCTGCAGTCCACAATTGGATGAGAACAACTTTTGAGAAAGCGAGGCTATGTGAAATTCAACGGAGACGTCAGCTCAACTCATATAATTGTGGGAAAATTCTTCTTCTACCAGTCCTTCATAACCTTAAACGAAATTGGGTGAATACATCTTATATTACTGATTTACTGGTAGTCTCGAAACAGTACTTAATGCGAAAAATAAGTAATAGCAGCAACAAATAGGAAGAGTACTGAAAATCCAAACTTATCATATTGTTCGTCCAGTGTTTCGGAGCGGTTCAAGAAGAGGCAGAGCCGAGTTGGCAAGACAAAAAATGGAGAAGAAAGAAAGAGAATCTCTCAAAGAAACTGCTTTCAAGCGTGTAAACGAAGTTGATCGTCTACGCCTAACAACTACGGCGTATAGACAGGCCATGAGATGGGCTGATTAAAAAATCCTGAACCTGTACCTGAATGAGCGCATATATCCACCTAAACTACAAGTTAGCACACAACTACAAATGTACATGTGCCCGTTTGTGTGTCACTATTCCAGCCTGTCTTTTTTTGTGAGTGTGCGTAGCAGGCATGGGCCAGGACAGGGCAGATGAATAGAAGTGAAAACCGTCTTCTCTGCGCGAGGATCTAATATGTTTCGACAGATTTGCCCTTGAGCTCCCTGGCCTAAATTGATCCCAATGAAAAAGCAGTCTGTATACGTTTTTGAATAACTAACTATAAGCATGTGTTCTCATATGTTTCAATCACAATGCAATGAGAGGTTCTCTTTTCCTACCTAAACAGGTCGAGTTCGCTTTTTACTGCTCACGGCCTCTATCTCCACATAAAGTGTAATTTAAAGCTGGACTAATGGGCAGGCCACCGAGGGAAGCCTGGAAAGGAGGTGTGGGCACAAGAGTGTGCATGCAATTAGCTGGATGACGCGTGATGTGCATGTGTTCGTGTGCCTGTGTAATATGGAAAGAAGTGTTTGGGTATAATCGCAAGCTTGCGAACAATAGAACGAGTCCGGCAGGATGGAGGTCACGGGAGAATGTGACTATGCCATCAACTAACATCTCTTGGGAGGCCGGTTAGTTCTGTACGAACCAAATGAAATTTGAGCGAAGAGGTGCCCTTACGCGATGCTAATTATTAAGTAAGGATTGCTATTTCGTCGGTGTAGTCCAAGCAAATACTAGAATAAAGATACGCTTTCCTTTCATGCTTTCAGAAGAATGCCTCTGCAGCCTGTGAGGCGGAGCTAGACTTTTTTTATGATAGAAGTGGGTTGGCCTCGTCGCAACTTGGTCTTGTTGTCCGGGCGACTTAGTAGAACGCACCTAGTCCGAAGTCGTCTGCCATAATAGTTGCCATCTGACAGTGGACTTGATACATTCTCAAACGTTTCGCCGGCATCGTAGTCGGCATCATCAGAAAGAGGAGTGATAGCGTAACCGTTTTCGGCAGAATTTCGGTCGAAGGATGGATTTCACTTGTCTCTTGACGAGTCCCCAGCTCGGTGCGGAGAATGGCACTCACTGATGATACCGACTACGATGCCGGCGAAACGTCTGAGAATGTACCAAGTCCATTGTCTGAAGCTGGGAATCATGACAACTA